TGGGAGGCTGAGGCAGAAGGATTCCTTGAGCCCAGGAGTTTGAGGTTGCTGTGAGCTAGGCTGACGCCACGGCACTCTAGCCCAGGCAACAAAGTGAGACTCTGTCTCAAAAAAATATATATATATGTATATAAGTAGCCTGGGTAGGCAGAATCTTTCTGGACATGGAGTCCTCAAAGGTGGGGAATGATTAGCAAAAGCATCCCGAGGGCTGAAAAGTGGGGGTTTCTGAACTACACAATAGCAGAAGGACTTTCTTTGGGCGTGCGGCACTCCCGGTACACCAGGAAGGGGTGGATTAACGTCAGAAGCGTGGCGAGTATTAGCACCACATTCACCTGCATGGGAGAGAGGATGGAGTGAGGCAAAGAAATCTGGAAATCTGAGCAACGCCCATAACCAACGAGGGGACCAGGACACATCTAGTTTATATTCTGCTTTCCACCCAGACACCCTGGTGCCCTGGAGGAAGGACTTTCGGTATTTTTCACTCTGTCCTCTTAGGTGGGGGTGGGAGGAATACTATGCCCATTTCACAGGTGAGGAAACAGAGGCCTAGAGAGCATTCAGTGATCTTCTCAAGGTCACATGGAGAGCTGATAGAGGCACTGGCTAGAAAACACGTCTGAATATTAGGTCAGGCTACCTGATATCATAATCAAGTAATTCTCAGTTTTTAAGTTTAGTCTTTTTTTTTCCAAGGGACTGATTTAAACTCCTGTTCTACACTTCACTGGTTTTTACAAAATGAGGCAAACAGAGCTGTGCAGTGGTCAAAACACTGAATTCAAAGTCAAAAGATTTCTGCTCCTTGCTGGCTGCCTCTGAATACAGAAGTCATGTGACCTCTTTGAGCCCGGGTCTCTGCAAAGGGTGGGAGAGTCATGCCCACGTCCTCGGGTAGGGCCCATGAGCACCCCTCCAGGTGTGGGGACACAGGGGCGTCCTGACTCTCAGGCCAGCTGTGGAAACGGATGCACGTGGTAGCCCGGGGGACAGGACAGGGTGAGCCTGCACTCACCACAGGCAGGAAAGGCCCCTGAAGTGTTAGGTTTATGCTTGAAATTCTGCAAGGATTTTTCATCCTACTCCAGAATATGTCTATTTGCTCCCTACACACACACAAATATTTTCTCCCCAAATCTGAGTAGCATGGACTCTTTGGGAAGCTGCACCACACCAACCCCGTGGCTCCGGGTACCCCCAGCGCAAGCCTGGGTACTCCCACCACCCTAGTTTGAGAAGCAAGAGCAAGGATGCACCCCTGTGCGGCACTGTTGCTGCAGGGACCACACCCAGGCAGCCAGGTTTGGGTGCCTCCTGCTGGGCCCCGCTGAGTCACCCCAGGTCCTCCCAGGTCTGAGGCCAGGGCCCCTGCCAGAGACATCCATCCCCACAGTACTCACATAGAATGGGTCACTCTGGAGGGGGCCTTTGATGAGGTGAAGATGGGGAACCGGAACAGGGACACAATGGCCGACAAAGCCATCACCAGCCCAAAGAGCTTTCCAAAGTGCTCTGAAGGGTAACTGGGGACAGAAAAAACCAGGGTTCCAGTGAGCTTCAGGAACCCTCCCTCCAAGCAGGCATCTGGCCTCAGGGAGGCTTTGTCAGCCACTTGTTCCCAACTCCCTATCCTAAGCCTGCCCTCCACCCACCATACCCACTCAACTCTTCCCTCTTTGTCTTTGCTCAGGCATTCAAACCACAGAACACAGAGAAGGCAAGTGTGGGGCCCAGGGAAAACAGCAGGGACCCAGTCACAGGCTGTGCCCAGGAGGCCTTAGGGAAAAGACAGACACATAAACAGAACACCATATGCCAGACTATGTGTACACCACCAAAGGTAGCAAGAATAGAGAACCAAGGGCACAAAGAAGGGAAGATACTTTCTTTCCAACTCTTCCCTGGGAGAGCTGGAACAGATGTAGGCTTTGGAGGGTGAATAGGAGTTCACCAGGGAGTGAACAGAGGCAGAGGACACAGCAGATCCTTCCCACCAGCCTCCAACTCTGGGCATCACCCCCTCCTCACCTGCTCCCAAACCCGGTCTCCCTTACCTGACCACCTCCAGGCTCACCCTTGCTTCCCAATTTCTTTACCTTGCTTGTTTCCCTGTGTCCCAGAGTGTCCCCCACTATAGAGCACACTCCAGGGCCACTTATGCGAGCGTGAGGAAGGCAGCATTGCCCCCGTAGAGGAAGGAGCAGCTGATCACTTGCAGGATGAAGGTGACGTACTGGAGGGGGAGGACGGGAACTGAGGCACAGATGGTGAAGGCCAGGCACAGCAGGGACGTCAGGGTCAGCGAGGGCACTGCCGAGCGGAGGGCCACCATCGAGGTGGAAGAGCCTGGTCCAAAAGGGAGGAGAGACTACTTGGAGACCAACCCAACCAAGGGCAGGGGAGGGCCGAGACAGGGGAAAGAGGGGAGCCACTGCCCACCCACCTGTCCTTGGCGTCATCCTTGAACCCTCTTGCCCCACAGGCCCCATCGCCAGTCCTTCAATAATGCTGATCATTCACCTCCTGAACTCCATTCCAATGGCCCACCCCTCTCCTACCCCACTGACTCTTCCTAGCTTTAAGCCACCATTAACGCACTCAGAGATTATTGCAGTGGCCTCCCGACAGGCGGCACACCTGCTCTTGCCCCCTCGAGCCTGTAGCCAGATATTCCTCGTAGCACAACTGGTAGTAGCAAAAGACTGGAAACAGCCCAAAGAGCCATGGGGAGGGGGGCATGCTGCGTCAACTGTGCCGCAGCCACATAACAGAGAACCAGGCAGTGGTCAGAAGCAATGAGGAGAGGGCTCTGCCACGGAGCAATCTCAGAACAGAGTTGCACAAAAGCCCTGCAGCGTGGTATATATAGTACGCTAACTTTTATCTAGGAAAGAGGGAAATACACACACACACACACACACACACACACACACACACACACAATGTCTGTCCTAAAAAAAGCAATAAAAATGGTTACCTAAAGAAGAGGGAAGGAGAGGGCTGCAATAAACAGAGAAGGAAACTAAACTGCTTTGAATGTATCTTGTTTCGCAGTTTTAGCTTTGGTAAAATGTAAATGTTTGATATGTGTATGTTTTGCAAATAAGACTAAATACAAACAATAGGAAGAAAACAAGCAAAATAATTCCCGAAAATTAAAAACAAAATAAAATGAAACCAATGAACATAACTCTATAGCAAGTTGGTGGACTCTTAAAACAGTAATTTGTACATCTCTCGTGGGATACACCCTAAGGATGAGAAAGGAGGGAGGGAGGTCGGAGAAGGGCAACAGCATTTAGCCACTGTGTTGTTCTTAGCAATATTGATGTTGCTGAAACCAGTAATTCTATTTAAAATGTTATACATATATATACATATACATATATGTATATGTATATATACACATGTATAGTGTTGTTAGGATCCAAGATTTTCAGAAGAAGAGAATGAGCTGGAAATGAATAATCAAGGAAATAAAAATTTGAATGAAAATATCAGTATTAAGTATTCATGATTTTTTCCTTAG